TCTGTCTGGTGCCCTTGGGGAGCCGGGCCCAGAGATGGGCCCAGGTAAGTGGACCACCCAGGGCTGGGGCAGCTGGAGGGTGGGACCTTGGCCTCAGTGTCCTCCAAGCGCCTCTCCTACTACCTCCTGCCCGCCCTGTCAGGCCTCGCTGAACCCTGGCTCCCTCCAGCCACCCCGCCCGCTATGGCCCCCAGTACTCACCATTCCCTCCCTGTCCCAGGAGTGAAGGCCAAGAAACCCATCCAGACCAAGTTCAGAATGCCCCTCTTAAACTGGGTAGCCCTGAAACCCAGCCAGATCACGGGTACTGTCTTCACTGAGCTCAATGATGAGAAGGTGCTGCAGGTGAGTGTGGCCTCGCTGGCTGCCGGTGTGGGCACCAGAGAAGGAAGGGACTTGCCTGGATCATGCTGGGCACGAGGAGTGGTCACCTCCACCCCATCTTACAGATGAGGACGTGGAGGCCCAGGGATGGGCATTTGGCCAAACTGGGTTAGTGACTCTAGTAGGCAGGGCATCCTTACTCCCCGGGAGGCGTTCCCTCCCGTCCCTGAAGAAGGGCACAGCCCCCCCCCCCCCCCCCCCGGCCTCTCCCCCTCTTTTGAGACCCCTCTCCACCACCTTCCCACAGACAACCAGGGCTTCAGTCCTTCCAATCCACTTTCAGTGTTGGGTTTTTTATTATTATTAATGTTTTTGTTGATTTCAGAGAGGAAGGGCGAGGGTGAGAGAGATGGAAACATCAATGATGAGAGAGAATCATTAATAGGCTGCCTCCTGCACGCCCCCTACTGGGGATCAAGCCCACAACCACAACCGGGCATGTGTCCTGATTGGGAATCGAACCTGCAACCTCCTGGTTCATAGGTTGACGCTCAACCACTGAGCCATGCCGGCCAGGTCCACTTCCAGTTGTTCCAAAGGCTTGTGTTCTCTGGCCTCCAGGCCATTGCTCAAGCTGTTCCTCGTGCCTGGAATGCCCTTTCTGTCCCCCTTTCCCCCTGGCCAACTCAGCTCTTCCTCCATCTCTAACTTCTTGGAGTCTGGGTCCCCTGGGTTGGGTACTGCACCTCCTCTTTCTCCTCAGTGCTCCTGAGCTTCCCCTGTGTCCCCCATCAGGGCCTGTGGTCAAGCTGAATTACTGGCTTGTTTCTTTCTCTGCCAGTGGCCAGGTCAGGGCTGGATAGGGGCTCAAGCAATGAGCACGGTGCTCAGCCAGGAATGCACGAGGCCCCGGCCCACCCAGCCCCACCTCCTCTCCCTGTGCCCTCAGGAACTGGACATGAGTGACTTTGAGGAGCAGTTCAAGACCAAGTCCCAAGGTCCCAGCCTGGACCTCAATGCTCTCAAGGGTAAGGCAGCCCAGAAGGCCCTCAGCAAGGCCACACTCATTGAGGCCAACCGGGCCAAGAACCTGGCCATCACCCTGCGCAAGGGCAACCTGGGAGCGGACCGCATCTGCCAGGCCATCGAGACGTGAGTACCTCTGCCTGGGGCTTGTGGGCATCCCAGCCCTTCTGCCAGGCCAGTGCTTAGGCAGATCCTAGTTAAAGAACCCCAACTCTGGGGTAGAGCCCACCAAGCTTCATATCAACCCTAGTCAGGCAGTAGGGGGCGAACCTTGTTCCCATTTTCAGATGGAGAAACTGAGGCCATACTGTGAGTTCATGCCAGATTGAGATGTTCCCATTCCCCCCACTTCTCCCCCCACCCCCTCCGCCTCCTTGCCCAGCTATGGGCCCTCAGGCTCAGGCACTTACAGCTGGACATCTGCCACTGATGTATGATGCGGACCCCGGGCTTTCCAGCTGCCAACTTCCCTTGACTTCTACCTCTTGTTCCCTGAAGCTGTTGGCAAATCGCAAATACTGAAGTTCATTTACTCAATCAAGGAAGGGGAGCGGATATCCTGCTCTCGAGAACTGGTGGGTATGGAGCAATGCCTACCCCTCTGCCTCCAGGTACGACCTCCAGGCCCTTAGCCTGGACTTCCTGGAGCTGCTGACCCGCTTCCTGCCCACGGAGTATGAGCGCACCCTCATCGCCCGCTTCGAGCGGGAGCAGCGGCCAATGGAGGAGCTGTCCGAGGAGGACCAGTTCATGCTGCGCTTCAGCCGCATCCCGCGCCTGCAGGAGCGCATGGCCGCGCTAACCTTCATGGGCAACTTCCCGGATACCGTCCAGCTGCTCATGCCGGTGTGGGCGGGGCAGGCAGAGTGGTGTGGGTGTGGCCTGGGGTGAGGATGGGGTGAGGGCCTCCCCAAGCCTGGGCTCCAAGAGGACCTTTGGGAGTACTTGAGCCTCCTGTGGGCTTGCCCCCCCCCCCACAGCCCCAATTTACCTTGCTTCCTCCATCCCATCCCCAGCAACTGAATGCCGTCATTGCAGCCTCAATGTCCATTAAGTCGTCTGACAAACTCCGCCAGATCCTGGAGGTGAGTAAGATGCCAGGGCAAGGGCCTGGGAGGTACGGTCCACCCTTGACTCCTTGCCTGTTCTAGGTCTTATTAGAGGGAGACTCAGGCCCTGCCCTGCACACCTAGGATGCAACAAATATAATGGTCCCACCTCTCACATACAGGCTCAGGGTGAGAGTGAGGGCCATGCACAGGATGGGGCAAAAGAATAAACTCTCAGAGTTTATTCTTAAAATATGTTTTTATTGATTTCAGAGAGGAAGGGAGAGGGAGGGATAGAAACATCAATGATGAGAGAATCATTGACCGGCTGCCTCATGCACGCCCCCTACTGGGGATGGAGCCTGCAACCTGAGCATGCGCAGGAATCGAATCATGACCTCCTGGTTCATAGGTTGACGTTCAACCACTGAGCCACACCAGCTGGGCTCTTCTTGTATTATTATTTATTAATTATTGTTTTCAAAAGTGAATACAATTGTAAACCTAGTTTTGTCCCCCCCCCCCCCCAATACAGCATCACACCTCAGACCCTGCCTGGGGTTACTGTGTGATGAGCAGAACCCAATCTGCTCAGTGGAGTCCAGGGCAGCAGTAGAAATGGCTGTTAGAAAGGTGGCGACTCCACAGCCTAGGAAGAGAGGTTGGCAGCACAGTTTTGGGTAGAAATAACAGAGGACAAAATTGGGTGTGCCATGGTGTTAGCCGTGCACATGTGTCAAACATGTACACATGCAGGTCCATGTGTCATGGCCCTGAGGGGTCCACGCGGGACTGGGCTGAGTGTGGGGCTTGCTCTGTGCCACCTTTGCTAGTGCAGTTTATGCTTTAGGGGTTTCCTCCGCTCATGACCCTGCTGAGCTCTCCGTCTCTCCTAGATCGTCCTGGCCTTCGGCAACTACATGAACAGCAGCAAGCGTGGAGCAGCCTATGGCTTCCGGCTCCAGAGTCTGGATGCGGTGAGGGGCGAGGGGAGGGGTCCCCTGGACTGGGAGAGGGGGGAGGGCTGGTGGCCTGTGGCTTACAACAGGCCATTGCAGCTGCTGGAGATGAAGTCGACCGACCGGAAGCAGACGCTGCTGCACTACCTGGTGAAGGTCATCGCTGAGAAGTATCCACAGCTCACAGGCTTCCACAGTGACCTGCACTTCCTGGACAAGGCGGGCTCAGGTACGGGTGGGCAGTACCCCCATCCTTGGGTTGGGGGAGCGGCTCAGCCCTGGAGATTGATGCGGGTTGGGAGAAAACAAGGCGACCACAGGGTGTCATCGGACAGGAATGCTGCCTCTCTGATTCCCTGCCTCTCCACTGCCCCGTCCCCCAGTGTCCCTGGACAGCATCCTGGGGGACGTGCGCGCCCTGCAGCGAGGCCTGGAGTTGACCCAGCGGGAGTTCGTGCGGCAGGATGACTGCGTGGTACTCAAGGAGTTCCTGAGGGCCAACTCCCCCACCATGGACAAGCTGCTGGCAGACAGCAAGACAGCTCAGGTGGGCGGGGCTGGCCAGGCGGGGAGATGGGGAGGGTGGGGAGGGGCAAGCAGGGCTACCTAGGTGGGGTTGAGTAGCCAAGGTTTGGACGGGAGTGGACACCTTGGGGGATGGAGTAGGAGTGAGCGGCCACCAGAGATGAAGTCGCTGGTGTCTTAATGGGGGGACAGAGCCGTGGTCAGGCTTCGAGGGGTCCACACCGATGGGGCTGACAGGCTGTGTCTGCAGGAGGCCTACGACTCCGTGGTGGAATACTTCGGAGAAAACCCCAAGACCACATCCCCCTCCATGTTCTTTACCCTCTTTAGTCGCTTCGTCAAGGCCTACAAGGTATGTGTTCCTGGTAGGCAAGCTGGGACCACTCTGGGTACTGCAGCTTTTCCGTGTGGGCAGTGGGAGGGGTGGGGCTGCTTCTGTTGGGGGGCGGGATCGGTGAGGGAGGCCTCAGCTCATGGAGACCAACCTTGGCCCCTCAGAAAGCTGAGCAGGAGGTGGAACAGTGGAAGAAAGAAGCGGCTGCTCAGGAGGCCGGCGCTGAAACTCCAGGCAAAGGGGACTCCCCAGCACTCAAGGTAGGCAGCTGCCCCTGAGCATGGCCCTGGGATGCAGGGATGCGTAGTGTCCTCCTCCCAAAGATCTGGCCCTCCTCCACACCCTCATTTTTACTGATGGACCCTGTGAGTAGCCTGGGATGGGAAGGGGTTCCTTCTGCTCCAGCCAGCAGTGGGGGCTTGCTGGGGGCAGGAGGACACCAAACAGGATGTGGTGGTGTTGGGGGGAGGGGCTCCTGGAGCTGGAGCTGGAGCTACATACCCTTCCCCTCCCCCCAGTCCCCACCCAAGGCTCGGAGGCCACAGATGGACCTCATCTCTGAGCTGAAACGGAAGCAGCAGAAGGAGCCACTCATCTATGAGAGTGACCGCGATGGGGCCATTGAAGACATCATCACAGGTGAGGGCTTGGCCGGGCCTGTCTCATCCTCCGTCTGTCCTTCTATGCTGTCCTCCATCCACCTCCCACCCTGGGGTCTGGCTGCCTCACTGCCTCTTTGCTACTTTTTCTGTCATTTTCCTTTTCCCTTTCTCTCCCCACTCCTCCCTCCTAACCCTCAGTGCTCAAGACGGTGCCCTTCACGGCCCGCACTGGCAAGCGGACATCCAGGCTCCTCTGTGAGGCCAGCCTGGGCGAGGAGATCCCCCTCTAGCCCTCAGGTACCTCCGACGGCCTGGCCTCCGATTCCTGGGGCTGCCCATAGCCCTGGGGGCCCTGGGGGGGGCGGGGGAATGAGTGCTGCTGCCCTCTCCTGGGACCCGCATGCTGGGATGTGTTGGAGGGGGCCTGGTAAACATAGACAGGCCGCTTCCCACATGGATACCACCTGGTCCCCAGGAGGGTGAGGCCTGTGCCCCGCGCAGGCTCCTGAGGGTAACTGCGTCCCTCTCCTCTCTGCTAGACCTGCGGAACCAGCCCTACATCCGCACGGACACAGGCCGCCGCAGCGCCCGCCGGAGACCCCCGGGACCCCCCCTGCAGGTCACCTCGGACCTCTCGCTGTAGCCCCCATTTCCACAGATGGACTCTGGGGATGGGGGAGGGGCAAGATGGGGCTCAAGGAAGGGGGTCCTCAGCTCGGCTGGGCCGGGCAGCCCTTCTGCCGCTGGCCCCAGCCAGGGGCTCACCCAGATGGGCAGGTGCACTCTCCTCTTGCTACAGGCGTCAGTATCGCCGGCCCCGCCCCCCAACTGCTGCTCGCAGCGCCCTCCTCCCCCCAATAGCCATACTGTACTTAGCCTCAGCGGGAGCCTGGCCGGTAACTTATAAAGTGCAACCTCGCGCCCCCCCCCCCCCCCCCCCCCCCGGGACTCTCCACGGACCTTATTTTTATACAAGATTAATAAAGATGTTTGCAAAAGGTCTGCGTCCGCTCCGTGACCCCCACCGCACAGCAGCCTGTCTCGTGCAGCCAACGCTTTGCTGGTACAAGCCCTTCACAGCAGGTGTCTGCCAACCGCTCGGCTGGCGGAGGGGAAAGGGTAGCTTCGCCACTAGAGTTGGGGGGCGGGATCCAGCGGGCCCCAGCGTCGAGGGGTTCCACCAGTCCTGTTCCTAGCTGGGGACCCCGCGGCATCCTTAGCCGCGTCTGTGAGTGCCCTCCGATTGCACCTCAGCCTATGGGGCCTCCATCTGCGCCAGCCCGGCCCCCATGTCTAGGACTCCTGCTCCGACTCTTCTTCGCCTGCTCCTCCCCTCC